GGAGACCTGTCCGGTTTAACAGGCGACAGCAGTGAGACCTTGTCCGTACTACCTACGCAGCCGAGTAAGACAGCCCGAAGGATTTCTAGAGGAGCGGAGGTACATCGGAATTGAAAGTATCCCACAGAACAACATCAGTATGGAAGCCCTAGACGGAGATCCAGTGGATAGGAGTGGATAAAGGGCAAAGAAAAATATCAGGTTGTATCGTTTCTTTCTTTTCTCCTTTCGAACAAGTGGTCGGAAGAATTATTTCAATGAAGCAAGTCACGGGCGGATTTTTAATTTAAGAAGCCAAGCAAAAGTGGACACTACAATGAGTGTGTTTTTTTTCTTAATGAGAAAAATCAGTTTTTGTATTAATTTTTTTGTATAAATATGGAGAAAACATTTGTAAGAATGCGTTTGTTTACTTCTATGTATGACTTCGCTAAGATGCGACAATTCCTTTGGTTGTTTGTTTTATTGTTTTTTTTTGAAAAATGTTTGAAATTGTATATATATATATATATATTATCTCACATCTGGTGACTTGGGACGCGGCGTAATTAGGTAGCGCTAACATTTAATACTAACAAGCGCAGCATGTATGGAATGGGAATGTTAAGGAACCGGATGCTTTAATTGATGTATATGAAAATGTTATGTAAAAAATGAAGGAATCTGTATATACTATAGGTGTTTGTTTTTTCACACAAAGAAATTCTCATTTCAGGGTAGATGACCCTGAGCATTGTATAGTGAACAAAGAATCAAGATGCAAGTACGAATATGTTTGTATAATATTTAAGTAGATTTATAAGTAGTTAAGTAAACCACACAGGCAGGTTTTTTACAATTTCGGTGGTTTTTCCCTCGCCTCATAGCCAAATGGGCGTGGTATAGGGAAATTTAATTCTGTAAATGTTACGTCCTTTAAAGTGTAGTTTTAGGTCGTATTTTTTTTCCTTTCCCTTAAGGAAGGAGAATTTTTATAGTATCCGTTTGGTAGATATATATTAAAGTCGTCGGGACAATAAATCTAGTCTAGGAATTGGTTACGTAATTTATTTTTAGGCCGTTTATGACCTTCGAATAAATCCCGTTTTCTTTTTGGAGGAGGATTGTGACGAATCTGTACGGAACCTTTCCACTAATCTTCTTAGGCGTCTTTTTCGGGGATATAAATTCGCGTTTATTTCCAATCAACTCCAAAAAGATGAACGGGATATTTAAATTAGATAAAGTATTTAAGTCGAGCGTTGAGAGATAACAAGTGAGTTGATGGAATGCTATTGAGCCAGCAACTTTAAACGTATTCAAGGACATTAGATTTGTCAAGACGTCGTGCTGCTAGACGTACCAGAAAGCTGATATAAGCCAGCGGTAAATATAATTTACGTACGCTTAAAATAAGCGCCAGTTTAAGCAACTTAGTTAAAGTTAATGAAAGATAAGAATTTGAGTACGTGTGTATTTCTCGGATCTCTTATTTCGGTAAACCTTGCTTGAGCTTAATTATTAATTAATTGCATACTTAGTAATTTAATTTAATATAAAGGCAAATCCCTTTAAGTGACGTAACATAATATTATTATACGTTTACAGAGATTTTTTTGAGAAAATTATAGTAATAAATAAATATTATTATTATTCAAAATGGCTCTTAGTGGTTCTTTGCCTCAAATTAATCTTGGAGTTCAAGGTAAGACCCAGGGGGGTCACCACAAATATAATTTGGAAAAGAGAGACAAAAGTTACAAGTACTATATATGCATTGGAATTTTTTTTTATAAAACTCAATAACATCGCGATATATTTTAACTTTTATTCCAGTTCGTTTTCGTTCAATTCTTTTAAAACCGATGAGTTTCTTATGGATATTAGATTTAATATGAAACCGAGAGCAGAGTGGTGCAGTGGAACCGTGCTGGGCCCATGACCCAGAGGTCCGTGGATCGAAACGAGGCTCTGCTATAAAGATTATAGTTTCTTTCATATGAAAATAGAGAACAATTGTGCAAGAACTATATATCCATTGCAAATTTTATTTAAAAAAAACTCAATAATATCGAGAAATATTTTAACTTTTATTCCACTTCGTTTTCATTCAATTCTTTTAAAAGCGACACGTTTCATCAGTATATTAGAATTCCTTTGAAACCGAAAGCAGAGAGGCGCATTGGAAGCGTGCTGGGCCCAGAACACAGAGGTCATTGGATCGAAACCATGCTCTGCTATAAATATTCTAGTTTTTTTTCTTTTAGAGACGGAGAACGAAATTGCAATTAGGTTTTTTGCGTTGGAAGTTTTTTTTAAATAACTCAATAACATCGCGAGATATTTGAATTTTTCTTCGAGACCGCTTCCGTTCAATTATTCTAAAACTGATGCGTTTCTTAAGAATATAAGAATTGCTTTGAAAGCGAGAGAAGGATGGAACAGTGGAAGCGTACTGGGACCATAACCCTGAGGTCCGAGGATCGAAACCACGCTCTACTATAAATATTTCAGTTTTTTTTCATATGAAAATAGAAAACAATATTGCAAGCACTATAAATCCGTTGCAATTTTTTAAAAATAACTCAATAATATCGCGATGTATTTTTTTCTAGGCAGTTTTCGTTCAATTCTTTCAAAAGTAATGCGTTTTTTAAGGATATTAAAATTTTTATGAAATCGAGAGCAGTGTGGTGCAGTGGAAGCGTGCAATGTCGATAACCTAGAGGTCCGTGAATCGAAACCACACTCTGATATAAATGTGTATTTATTGTATATGACTTAAGTGGCAAAAAAAAAAACAACAACCGAGGTCCGCACGTCTGTTAACTACCTTAATTATACTTAAATGCTACTTTAAGTCTAACAATTCTGCTTTTTAGAGCTTCTTATCTTCATTGTCCTTTGTACAAAGAAAAGTTATATATAATGTACATTTTTCTACATAGTCCTCCTTGTGGCGCCTTCCTCTCTATGGTTAGTCGGTACTCCTCTCTTTTTCCATTTCGTGGTCTGAGGTTGTAGCCGCTTGTGGTGGGCGTGACTGTTTCTTCGTTTCGGCTTTTCTTTCTAAATTTTGGCATATTATAAATAATCACGTTTCTTAAGGATATAAGAATTACTTCGAAAACGAGTGCAGTGTAGCGCAGTGGAAGCGTGCTGGGACCATAACCCTAAAATCCGAGGATCAAAACCACGCTGTGCTATAAATATTTTAGTTTTTTTTCATATGAAAATAGAAAACAATATTGCACGCACTATAAATCCGTTGCAATTTTTTTTAAAAAAACACAATAATATCGCGATATATTTAAATTTTTCTTCGAGGCCGTTTTCGTTCAATTCTTCTAAAAGTGATGCGTTTCCTAATGATATAAAAATTGCTTTCAGAGCGATAGCAGAGTGGCGCAGTGGAAGCGTGCTGGGCCCATAACCCAGAGGTCCGTCGATCGAAACCACGCTCTGTTATAAATATCTTTTTTTTCATATGAAAAAAGAGAACACTATTGCAAGCACTCTATATCCGTTGCAAATTGTTTTAAAAAAAACTCAATAAAATCTCGAGATATTTTAATTTTTATTCCAGGTAGTTTTCGTAAGATATTTCTAAAAGGGATGCGTTTCTTAAGGATATTAGAATTGCTATGAAACCGAGAACAGAGTGGAGCAGTGGAAAGGTGCTTGGCCTATAACACAGAGATCGTCGATCGAAACCACGCTCTGCTATAAATAGTTTAGTTTTTTTCATATGAAAATAGAAAACAATATTGCACGCACTATAAATCCGTTGCAATTTTTTTTAAAAATAACTCAATAATATCGCGAGATATTTTAATTTTTCTTCGAGGCCAATTTCGTTCAATTCTTTTAAAAGTAATGCTTTCTTAAGGATATTAATATTGTTATGAAATCGTGAGCAGTGTGGTGCATTGGAAGCGAGCAATGTCGATAACCTAGAGGTCCATGTATGGAAATCACGCTCTGCTATAAGGCTTTTAGTTTTTTCCATATGAAAAAAGAGAACAATATTGCAAGCACAACAAATCCGCTTCAAATCTTGTTTCAAATAACTCAAAAACATCGCGAGATATTTTAATTTTTCTTCGAGGCCGTGTTCGTTCAATTCTTCTAAAAAAGATGCGTTTCCTAATGAAATAAAAATTGCTTTCAGAGCGATAGCAGAGTGGCGCGGTGGAAGCGTGCTGGGCCCATAAACCAGAGGTCCGTCGATCGAAACCACGCTCTGCTATAAATATTTATATTTTCATATGAAAAAAGAGAACACTATTGCAAGCACTATATATCCGTTGCAAATTTTTTTTAAAAAAAACTCAATAAAATCTCGAGATATTTGAATTTTTATTCCAGGTAGTTTTCGTAAGATATTTCTAAAAGGGATGCGTTTCTTAAGAATATTAGAATTGCTTTGAAATCGAGAGCAGAGTGGCGCAGTGGAAGCGTGCTTGGCCTTTAACTCAGAGGTCCGTCGATCGAAACCACGCTCTGCTATAAATATGTATTTTTCATATGAAAAAAGAGAACACTATTGCAAGCACTATATATCCGTTGTAAATTTCTTTTTAAAAAAACTCAATAAAATCTCGAGATATTTTAATTTTTATTCCAGGTAATTTTCGTAAGATTCTTCTAAAATTGATGTGTTTCTTAAGGACTTTTTATTTTTCTTCGAGGACGTGTTCCTTCAGTTCTTCTAAAAGTGATGCGTTTCCCTAGGATATAAAAATTGCTTTCGGAACGATAGCAGAGTGGCGCAGTGGAAGCGTGCTGGGCCCATAACCCAGAGGTCCGTGGATCGAAACCACGCTCTGCTATAAATGTTTTAGTTTTTTTCATGTGTAAAAAGAGAACACTATTGTAAGCACTATATATCCGTTAAAATTTTTTTTAAAAAAACTAGACATAATCTCGAGATATTTGAATTATTATTCCAGGTAGTTTTCGTAAGATATTTCTGAAAGGGATGCGTTTCTTAAGGATAATAGAATTGCTATCAAAAGGAAAGCAGAGTGGCGCAGTGGTAGCGAGCTGGGCCCATAACCCAGAAGTCCGTTGATCAAAACCACCCTCTGCTATAATTATTTTAGTTTTTTTTTCATATGAAAATAGAAAACAAATTTGCAAGCACTATAAATCCGTTGCAAATTTTTTAAAATAGCTCAATAATATCACCAGATATTTTTTTCCATGTGGTTTTTGTTCCATTCTATTAAAAGTAATGCCTTTCTTAAGGATATTAATATTGTTATGAAATCGTGAGCAGTGTGGAGCAGTGGAAGCGTGAAATGTCGATAACCTAGAGGTCCGAGTATCGAAACCACGCTCTGCTATTAGGCTTTTAGGTTTTTCCATATGAAAAAAGAGAACAATATTCCAAGCACAATAAATCCGTTGCAAATTTTTTTTAACTAACTCAATAACTTTGCGGGATATTTTAATTTTTCTTCGAGGCCGTTTTCGTTCAATTCTTCTAAATGTGATGCGTTTCTTAAGAATATAAAAATTGCTATGAAATCGTGAGCAGAGTGGCGAAGTGGAACCGTGCTGGGCCCATAACCCAGAGGTCCGTGGATCGAAACCCCGCTCAGCTATAAATATTTATTTATGTTTCATATTAAAAAAGTGAACAATATTGCAAGCACTATAAATCCGTTGCAAATTTTTTACATAACTCAATAAAATCTCAAGATATTTTAATTTTTATTCCAGGTAATTTTCGTAAGATTTTTCTAAAATTGATGCGTTTCTTAAGGATATAAGAATTCAGATGAGGTCGAGAGCAGAGTGGCGCAGTGGAAGCGTGCTGTTCCCATAACCCAGAGGTCTGTGGATCAAAACCACGCTCCGCTATAAATATTTTTGTTTTTTTTTTCATATGAAAAAAGAGAATAATATTGCAAGCACAATAAATCCGTTGCAAATTTTTTTTTAAATAACTCAATAACATCGCGAGATATTTTAATTTTTCTTCGAGGCCGTTCTCGTTCAATTCTTCTAAAAGTGATGCGTTTCTTAAGGATATAAAAATATCTTTGGAAACGAGAGCAGTGTGGAGCAGTTGAAGTGTGCTGGGCCCATAACCCAGAGCACCGTGGATCCAAACCCCGCTCAGCTATATGTATTTTAGTTTTTAAATATGAAAAAGAGAACAATGTTGAAAGCACAATAAATCCGTTGCCAATTTTTTTAACTAACTCAATAACATCGCGGGATATTTTAATTTTTCTTCGAGGCCGTTTTCGTTCAATTCTTCTAAATGTGATGCGTTTCTTAAGGATATAAAAATTGCTTTGAGAGCGAGAGCAGAGTGGCGCAGTTGAAGCGTGCTGGGCACATAGCCCAGAAGTCCGTGGACCGAAACCCCGCTCAGCTATAAATATTTTAGTTTTTTTCATATTAAAAAAGTGAACAATATTGCAAGCACTATAAATCCGTTGCAAATTTTTTAAATAACTCAACAAAATCTCGCGATATTTTAATTTTTATTCCAGGTAATTTTCGTAAGATTTTTCTAAAATTGATGCGTTTCTTAAGGATATAAGAATTCAGATGAGGTCGAGAGCAGAGTGGCGCAGTGGAAGCTTGCTGTTCCCATAACCCAGAGGACCGTGCATCGAAACCTCACTCTGCTATAAATATTTTTGTTTTTTTCATATGAAAAAAAAGAACAGTATTGCAAGCACTATATATCCGTTGCAAATTTTTTAAATAACTCAATAAAATCTCGAGATATTTGAATTTTTATTCCAGGTAGTTTTCGTAAGATATTTCTAAAAGGGATGCATTTCTTAAGGATAATAGAATTGCAATGAAATCGAGAGCAGAGTGGCGCTGTGGAAGCGTGCTGGTCCCATTACCAAGAGGTCCGTGGATCGAAACCACGCTCTGCTATAAACATTTTAGTTTTTTTTTCATATGAAAAAAGAGAACAATATTGCAAGCACTATATATCTGTTGCAAATTTTTAAAAAAATTTAAATAAAATCTCGAGATATTTTAATTTTTATTCCAGGTAGTTTTCGTAAGATATTTCTAAAAGGGATGCGTTTCTTAAGGATATTAGAATTCCATTGAAATCGAGAGCAGAGTGGCGCAGTGGAAGCGTGCTGGGCCCATAACCCAGAGGACCTTGCATCGAAGCCTCGCTCTGCTATAAATATTTTTGTTTTTTCCATATGAAAAAAGAGAACACTATTGCAACCACTATATATCCGTTGCAAATTTTTTTTAAAAAATCTAAATAAAATCTCGAGATATTTTAATTTTTATTCCAGGTAGTTTTCGTAAGTTATTTCTAAAAGGGATGCGTTTCTTAAGGATATTAGAATTGCAATGAAATCGAGAGCAGAGTGGCGCAGTGGAAGCGTGCTGGGCCCATAACCCAGAGGTCCGTGGATCGAAACCACGCTCTGCTATAAATATTTCTGTTTTTTTTCATATGAAAAAGATAACACTATTGCAAGCTCTATATATCTGTTGAAAATTTTTAAAAAAATCTAAAAAAAATCTCGAGATATTTTAATTTTTATTCCAGGTAGTTTTCGTAAGATATTTCTAAAAGGGATGCGTTTCTTAAGGATATTAGAATTGCAATGAAATCGAGAGCAGAGTGGCGCAGTGGAAGCGTGCTGGGCCCATAACCCAGAGGTCCGTGCATCGAAACCACGCTCTGCTATAAACATTTTAGTTTTTTTTTTATATGAAAAAAAAGAGAACACTATTGCAAGCACTATATATCCGTTGCAAATTTTTTTTTAAAAATCTAAATAAAATCTCGAGATATTTGAATTTTTATTCCAGGTAGTTTTCGTAAGATATTTCTAAAAGGGATGCGTTTCTTAAGGATAATAGAAATTGCTATGAAAAGGAGAGCAGAGTGGCGCAGTGGAAGCGTGCTGGGCCCATAACCCAGAGGTCCGTGGATCGAAACCACGCTCTGCTATAAATATTTTTTTTTTTTCATATGAAAAAGGAGAACACTATTGCAAGCACTATATATCTGTTGCAAATTTTTTTAAAAAAATCTAAATAAAATCTCGAGATATTTTAATTTTTATTCCAGGTAGTTTTCGTAAGATATTTCTAAAAGGGATGCGTTTCTTAAGGATATTAGAATTGCAATGAAATCGAGAGCAGAGTGGCGCAGTGGAAGCGTGCTGGGCCCATAACCCAGAGGTCCGTGGATCGAAACCACGCTCTGCTATAAATATTTTAGTTTTTTTCATATGAAAAAAAAGAGAACAATATTTCAAGAACTATAAATCCGTTGCAATTTTTTTAAAATAACTCAATAATATCGCGAGTTATTTTAATTTTTCTTCGAGGCCGTGTTCGTTGAGTTCTTCTAAAAGTGATGCGTTTCTTAAGGATATAAAAATTGCTTTGAGAGCTAGAGCAGAGTGGCGCAGTGGAAGCGTGCTGGGCCCATAACCCAGAGGTCCGTGGATCGAAACCACGCTCTGCTATAAATATTTCTGTTTTTTTCATATGAAAAAGGATAACACTATTGCAAGCACTATATATCTGATGCAAATTTTTTTAAAAAAATCTAAAAAAAATCTCGAGATACTTTAATTTTTACTCCAGGTAGTTTTCGTAAGATATTTCTAAAAGGGATGCGTTTCTTAAGGATATTAGAATTGCAATGAAATCGAGAGCAGAGTGGCGCAGTGGAAGCGTGCTGGGCCCATAACCCAGAGGACCGTGCATCGAAACCTCGCTCTGCTATAAATATTTTTTTTTTTTCATATGAAAAAAGAGAACACTATTGCAAGCACTATATATCCGTTGCAAATTTTTTTAAAAACTAAATAAAATCTCGAGATATTTTAATTTTTATTCCAGGTAGTTTTCGTAAGATATTTCTAAAAGGGATGCGTTTCTTAAGGATAATAGAATTGCAATGAAATCGAGAGCAGAGTGGCGCAGTGGAAGCGTGCTGGGCCCATAACCCAGAGGTCCGTGGATCGAAACCACGCTCTGCTATAAACATTTTAGTTTTTTTTTCTATATGAAAAAAGAGAACAATATTTCAAGAACTATAAATCCGTTGCAATTTTTTTAAAATAACTCAATAATATCGCGAGTTATTTTAATTTTTATTCAGGCCGTTTCGTAAGAGTTTTCTAAAAGGGATGCGTTTCTTAAGGATATGAAATTGCTATGAAAGCTAGAGCAGAGTGGCGCAGTGGAAGCGTGCTGGGCCCATAACCCAGAGGTCCGTGGATCGAAACCACGCTCTGCTATAAATATTTTTGTTTTTTTCATATGAAAAAGGATAACACTATTGCAAGCACTATATATCTGTTGCAAATTTTTTTTAAAAAAATCTAAATAAAATCTCGAGATATTTTAATTTTTATTCCAGGTAGTTTTCGTAAGATATTTCTAAAAGGGATGCGTTTCTTAAGGATATTAGAATTGCAATGAAATCGAGAGCAGAGTGGCGCAGTGGAAGCGTGCTGGGCCCATAACCCAGAGGTCCGTGGATCGAAACCACGCTCTGCTATAAATATTTTTTTTTTTTTTCATATAAAAAAAGAGAACACTATTGCAAGCACTATATATCCGTTGCAAATTTTTTTAAAAAATCTAAATAAAATCTCGAGATATTTTAATTTTTATTCCAGGTAGTTTTCGTAAGATATTTCTAAAAGGGATGCGTTTCTTAAGGATAATAGAATTGCAATGAAATCGAGAGCAGAGTGGCGCAGTGGAAGCGTGCTGGGCCCATAACCCAGAGGTCCGTGGATCGAAACCACGCTCTGCTATAAACATTTTTTTTTTTTTCTATATGAAAAAAGAGAACAATATTGCAAGCACTATAAATCCGTTGCAAAATTTTTAAATAACTCAATAAAATCTCGAGATATTTGAATTTTTATTCCAGGTAGTTTTCGTAAGATATTTCTAAAAGGGATGCGTTTCTTAAGGATAATAGAATTGCTATAAAAAGGAGAGCAGAGTGGCGCAGTGGAAGCGTGCTGGGCCCATAACCCAGAGGTCCGTGGATCGAAACCACGCTCTGCTATAAATATTTTTGTTTTTTTTTCATATGAAAAAGAGAACACTATTGCAAGCACTATATATCTGTTGCAAATTTTTTTAAAAAATCTAAATAAAATCTCGAGATATTTGAATTTTTATTCCAGGTAGTTTTCGTAAGATATTTCTAAAAGGGATGCGTTTCTTAAGGATATTAGAATTGCAATGAAATCGAGAGCAGAGTGGCGCAGTGGAAGCGTGCTGGGCCCATAACCCAGAGGTCCGTGGATCGAAACCACGCTCTGCTATAAATATTTTTTTTTTTCATATGAAAAAAGATAACATATTGCAAGCACTATATATCCGTTGCAAATTTTTTTAAAAAATCTAAATAAAATCTCGAGATATTTTAATTTTTATTCCAGGTAGTTTTCGTAAGATATTTCTAAAAGGGATGCGTTTCTTAAGGATATTAGAATTGCAATGAAATCGAGAGCAGAGTGGCGCAGTGGAAGCGTGCTGGGCCCATAACCCAGAGGTCCGTGGATCGAAACCACGCTCTGCTATAAATATTTTAGTTTTTTTCATATGAAAAAAGAGAACAATATTTCAAGAACTATAAATCCGTTGCAATTTTTTTAAAATAACTCAATAATATCGCGAGTTATTTTAATTTTTCTTCGAGGCCGTGTTCGTTGAGTTCTTCTAAAAGTGATGCGTTTCTTAAGGATATAAAAATTGCTTTGAGAGCTAGAGCAGAGTGGCGCAGTGGAAGCGTGCTGGGCCCATAACCCAGAGGTCCGTGGATCGAAACCACGCTCTGCTATAAATATTTTTTTTTTTCATATGAAAAAGGATAACACTATTGCAAGCACTATATATCCGTTGCAAATTTTTTTTTAAAAAATCTAAATAAAATCTCGAGATATTTTAATTTTTATTCCAGGTAGTTTTCGTAAGATATTTCTAAAAGGGATGCGTTTCTTAAGGATATTTAAATTGCTATTAAATCGAGAGCAGAGTGGCGCAGTGGAAGCGTGCTGGGCCCATAACCCAGAGGTCCGTGGATCGAAACCACGCTCTGCTATAAATATTTTTTTTTTTTTTCATATGAAAAAAAGAGAACACTATTGCAAGCACTATATATCCGTTGCAAATTTTTTTAAAAAATCTAAATAAAATCTCGAGATATTTTAATTTTTATTCCAGGTAGTTTTCGTAAGATATTTCTAAAAGGGATGCGTTTCTTAAGGATATTAGAATTGCAATGAAATCGAGAGCAGAGTGGCGCAGTGGAAGCGTGCTGGGCCCATAACCCAGAGGTCCGTGGATCGAAACCACGCTCTGCTATAAATATTTTTTTTTTTTCATATGAAAAAAGAGAACAATATTTCAAGAACTATAAATCCGTTGCAATTTTTTTTTAAAATAACTCAATAAAATCTCGAGTTATTTTAATTTTTATTCGAGGCCGTGTTCGTTGAGTTCTTCTAAAAGTGATGCGTTTCTTAAGGATATAAAAATTGCTTTGAGAGCTAGAGCAGAGTGGCGCAGTGGAAGCGTGCTGGGCCCATAACCCAGAGGTCCGTGGATCGAAACCACGCTCTGCTATAAATATTTCTGTTTTTTTTCATATGAAAAAGGATAACACTATTGCAAGCTCTATATATCTGTTGACAATTTTTCAAAAAAAATCTAAATAAAATCTCGAGATATTTGAATTTTTATTCCAGGTAGTTTTCGTAAGATATTTCTAAAAGGGATGCGTTTCTTAAGGATATTAGAATTGCAATGAAATCGAGAGCAGAGTGGCGCAGTGGAAGCGTGCTGGGCCCATAACCCAGAGGTCCGTGGATCGAAACCACGCTCTGCTATAAATATTTTTTTTTTTTTCATATAAAAAAAGAGAACACTATTGCAAGCACTATATATCCGTTGCAAATTTTTTTAAAAAATCTAAATAAAATCTCGAGATATTTTAATTTTTATTCCAGGTAGTTTTCGTAAGATATTTCTAAAAGGGATGCGTTTCTTAAGGATAATAGAATTGCAATGAAATCGAGAGCAGAGTGGCGCAGTGGAAGCGTGCTGGGCCCATAACCCAGAGGTCCGTGGATCGAAACCACGCTCTGCTATAAACATTTTAGTTTTTTTTTCTATATGAAAAAA